ATTCCAATTGCTTTTGACTTTTTGTCTTTTATTTATTTTAGTTTAGTTATTTTGGCTGGTACATCTGGATCTTGGTCAAGGCCATGGAAATCTTAAATGTGTTGCCAAGACAGATGTGACCATTGTGAGAAAGTGGGTATAGGGCTGAGAACTGTCTAAGCAAACGCAAAATAGAGTCAGAATAAGATGATGTTACCTCAGTCATTTCATTCTGACCTCTACACATAAACAAATAATAAATATAAATAAATGAGTAAACAAGGCTAGAGAAATGTCTCATTTGTTAAAAACACTTGCTGAGGTGAACACTCCATTGCTGGCGGAGTGCAAACTTCTACAACCACTGTGGAAATCAATATGGTGCTTCCTCAGAAAACTGAGAATTCATCTACCTCAAGACCCAGCTGTACCACTCTTGGGCATATACCCAAAGGATTCCCCATCTTTTTTTTTATAGTAATAGAAAGTTTTTATTCATATTAAGACATTTAAAATTCTTGAATACATGTATACTTTTATACACATTTACTGTTAGCTTGACTGATTTACATGGTGTTCTTTTTTCTCTCTTTATTCAATTTTTATTTTTATTTTTTTCATAATTTATTCATTATATATTCCAAATGAAGCCCACTCCCTCAACTTCCCCAGTTCCATCCTCCCTCCCTCTTCCCCTCATCTCCTTCCCCTAGTCTACTGAAAGGGGGAGTTCTCCATTATTGCCATCTGCCCATAGCTTGTTCCATCTCATCAGGACGGCTTGGATCCTCTTTCTTCGTGGCCTGAGAAGGCTGCACCATCAGGAGCAAGTGATCAAAGAGCAGTCAGCTGAGTTCGTGAAGGATGCTCCATCTTGCCACAAAGACACTGGCTCAACTATGTTCACAGGGGATTTATTCATAATAGCCAGAAACTGGAAACAACCTAGATGTCTCTGGACCAAAGAATAGATACAGAAAATTGATATATTTACACAATGGAGTATTACTCAGCTGTTTGTTTGTTTGTTTGTTTGTTTGTTTTTAATGGCATCATGAAATTGGCAGGTAAATGGAAGGAACTAAAAAAAAAAATCATCCTGAATGAAGTCACTTAGATCCAGAAAGACAAACATTATATGTATTCACTAGTAAGTGGACATTAGCTGTTAAGTAAATGATAATCATGCTACAACCTCCAGACCCAGGAAGGCTAAGTAACAAGAAAGGCTGTAAGTGGATGCACACATCTCCCTGGGAAGAGTAAATAGATTTTGTAGGTGGACTGGAAGTGGGTGGTAATGGGACCAGGAGGGAGCAGGTGGGGGAAGGGACAGTGAAAGAGAGTACAGGGAGGGATGACTAGACTTGGAGGGCATTTGGGGGGCAATGTGGAAACCTAGTTCAGGAGAAACCCCCAGGAGTTTCTATGAAGGTGAGTCTAATGAGGACTCCTAGCAAGGAGGATACAGAGCCTGATCTGGTCATGTTCTGTAACCAGGCAAGGCTTCCAGTGGTGGGATTGGGACACCAGCCCAACCCACAAAACCTTCAACCTACAATCTAGCCTGCATGCAAGATGTGCTAGTCAGTGGAACTCAGAGCTTGCAGGAGTTGCCAGCCAATGTAATGTCTGGTTTATCTTGAGTACCATGCCATGAGAGGAAGCCTATGCCCAATACTACCTGGATAACCAGGAACCAGAAGAGCAGAGATCTAGTATAGAAGAAAAAAAAAAACAATAAAATGATTCCTAATGATATGCTGCTATACTCATAGACTGGTACCTAGCCCAGTCATCAACAGAGAAATGTACACACCTGATGGGAGCAGATGGAGAGACCCACAGCAAGACAGTAGGTAGAGAGTCCAAATAGGAGATCTCCATCAGACCCTCCTTTTGGAGCTCAGGGAACCCAGAACATGAGAAGAAGGAAGAATAGTAAGGTCCAGAAAAGTCAAGGATATCAGGAGAATAGAGCCCACAGAACCAAATAAGCAGGGCTCTTGGGGGCTCACAGAGAGTGAGGTGACAATCATGGAGCCTGCATGGGTCTGTACTAAGTCCTCTGCAAATGTGTTATGGTTGTTAACTTGGTGTTATTGTGTTACACCTAACAGTGAGAGTGGGGGTGTCTCTGGCTCTTTCACTTGCTCTTAGGACCCTTTTTCTTTTGGGTTTCCTCACCCAGCCTTGAAATGAGTGATTGTGTCTAGTCTTACATTATTGTTATGCTGTGTTCAGTTGATATCTCTGGGAGGCCTGCTCTTTTCTGAAGGAAAACAGAAGAGGAATAGATCTGGGGAAAAGGGAAGGGAAGCATGGGAGGAGTTAAGGGATGGGAAATTAACATTGGGATATATTGTATGAGAGAAGAATCAAAAATAAAACAGAGCAATGCATGGTGGAACATGCCTGTAATCCCAGCACTCTGGGAGGCATCTGGGAGGATCTCTGTGATTTCAAGGCCAGCCTGGTCAACAAAGCAAGTATAGGACAGCCACGGCTACACAGAGAAACCCTGTTTCCAAAAAACCAAACCAAACCAAACAGCCTTTTCCCCCCACTGCCCTTCCATTAATCCTCCTATTCTATATCTCTCTATAACAATATATTCTTTTTCCCCTTTCTTCAGAGATTCCCCCCACCTCAAGTTCATTAATAGCTACCTAACATCTGTGTTTATTTGATTGTAACATACATGTCAACAGCTTATATACTAACATCTACACTTAAGAGAAAACATACAATATTTGTGTTTTGGGGTCTGGGTAATCCCACTCAGGGTGATTTTTCTAGCTCTATTCATTTACCTGCAAATTTTATAATTTCCTTTTTTCTTAATAGCTGAATAATATTTCATTGTGAAATGTACCACATTTTCATATCCACTCATTAGTTGATGGGCACTTAGGCTAGTTTCAATTTCTGACTATGATGAATAGAGCAGCGATGAGAGATGAGCACGAATCTCTGTAATAGGAATAAAGAGTCCTCTGGGGATATGGCCAAGAGCGGTATAGCTGGATCTTGAGATGGATCTACTCCCTGCTTCCTGACCTACCCCTTCTGTTCTTCAGTCAGATACTGTGTCACATGCTGTGCTGATTACAACACAAAGTAGAGTCACCTGAGTAGAGAGAATTACCACAGTCAGATTGGCCTGTGAGGTGTTTTTGTATTTGCTAATAGAGGCAGGTGATGCCCAGCCCCCTCTGAGCCATATCATCCCTGGGCTGATGGGCCTTGGCTGCATCCAAAAGCAGGCTGAGCAAGCCATGGAGAGCAAGCCAGTAAGCAGCATTCCTCCAAGGCCTCTGCATCAGCTCCTGACTCCAGGTTCCTGCCTTGGGCTCCTGCCCTGCCTTCCCTCCATGATGGTCTGTAACTTGTAAGCTGAAATAAGCCCTTTCCTCCCTAAGTCGCTGTTACCAACAGAAAGCATCCAAGGACACATGGATCTTACTTTTCATATTTACATCTCATCTCACTGGCTGCAGTTTTCCTCACTAAGTCCCCTCTCAAGGACCATGTGAGAGAGATGGATTTATAATTTAAAATTGCATTATTTAGCAAGATGAGTCAGACTTGCAATCCCCTCCATAGAATATTGATGGCTCAGGCTGAAGCTTACCATGTCCCTTCTACAGTTGTATCATTCTGAAATCATTTCCAGTCACTTCCCTGTGGAGGCTAACCACTCAAGGCAGGCTCATTGTTCACATTTGACTTCAGATCTTCCTATTTTCGGTCATGGGGACCCAGGGTAGGATGCTGAACGCTTGGCTGGGTCTGTCTCTGAGGAATGCACTCAGTGGCCTGGATGCCAGACAGATCTAGGGTCATGACCTTTTTTCACTCTCCCTGATTTCATTAAGGGCGCCTCAGGCTAGCGTGTCCGGTTTATAGGTCACCAGCGTTACATTTTATCCAGCACTACCTTTCTCTCAGGAAGTGTTATTTATTAACCACTCTCCTACCCCATCTTTGCCCACATCTATGGTGGGCACTGGGTAAAGGAAAGATGTAGAATGTCTGAAAACATTAGAGCCTAGTTACGGAGGCTCTTTCTCTGCGGAAGGTAGGTGTTGGAGGAAATAGAAGGAGCCAATGTTCTTCTTGAAGTGGTTTAGTTTACAATGTCAGTATGGTACGTCTAAGATGCTCATAAAACTCACACCAGGAACACTCTAGAATGTGAAAAGCTATCTGCATCAGTGGTCTGGTCCACCACAGTAACTTTATTGATCTCCCTTTCTGTCACTTGTGAGTGACATTCTGTACCCTGCTTAACTGTGTAAGCTGGTTTTCTTTCTGTGGATGCCTGTTATTTAAGAACAGATGAGGGGCCAGCAAGATGGGCTCAACAGAGTAAGTATGGTATGGCAAGGCTTGATGACTCGAAGTTGATCCCTAACCCCCAGAAAGCTGTCCTCTGACTTTCCCTTTACCACCTCCCCACTAAATATAAATAAATGTAATACTAGTACTAATGCTAATGAGAACAGATGACTGCAATGCAGAAGATGTCCTGATTTTGCAGTAACACCACTGAAGGCAGGGACAGAACACTTCTACCTAACCCGCAGTCAAGCACGGAAGGGCTGACGAGAGCTGGCAAAGTAAACTGAACCAGCCCAGTCCCTTGCCCCCAACCCTGCTTTTGAAACCAGGTACTTTCTTGCATCTGTCAAGGTGACTGCAAGGTCACTTGTCTGCCTCACTTGGACCAAGCCTGGACTTGCCCTGCTCCTCCATATCTGTCTACACTGAACCTGGTCACTGGATAAATTTCAGACACCGAGGACCTGATACATTGAGCCCAGACAGAAGCAAGCTCTGAAGCCAAGCTGTCTCTTACATGCTGGTGAGTTTACACCTTCTTTCTCTTCAGGGAGAAAACACTCTTTTTTCTTTTTTTCATATTCTTTATTAATTACGCTTTATTCATTTTGTATCCCCCTTGTGATTCCCTCCCTCCTCCCATCCCAACCCCTCCCCTCCTCCGACCTCTGCATGCATGCTCCTCCCCAAGTCCACTGATAGGGGAGGTCTTCTTTTCCTTCCTTGGGATCCTAGTGAAGTAGGTCTCATCAGGAGTGGCTGCATTGTCTTCTTCTGTGGCCTGGTAATGTTGCTTCCCTCTCAGGGGGAGGTAATTAAAGAGCAGGTCAATCAGTTCATGTCAGAGGCAGTTCCTGTTCCTATTACAATGGAACCCACTTGGATACTGAACTGCCATGGGCTACATCTGTGTAGGGTCTTAGGTTATCTCCATGCATAGTCCTTGGTTGGAGTATCAGTCTCAGTTTGTAGCAGCCTTATTTGTAATAGCCAGAAGCTGGTAACAGTCCAGATGCCTCTTAGTGAAAGAATGGATACAGAAATTGTGGTACATCTACACAATGGAATATTACTTAGCAATAAAAAAACAAGGAAATCATGAAATTTGCAGGTAAATGGTGGGATCTGGAAAAGATCATCCTGAGTGAGCTATCCCAGAAGCAGAAAGACACACACGGTATATACTCACTCATATAGACCTATAATATAGGATAAACCTACTAAAATCTGTACACCTAAAGAAACTAATCAAGAGGGAGGGCTCTTGCTAAAATGCTCAATTCCTATCCAGAAAGGCAAAGAGGCTGGACATTAGAAGAAGGAGAAAACAGAGAACAAGTCAGGAGCCTGGCATAGAGGACCTCTGAAAAGCTCTGCCCTGCAGACTATCAATACAGATGCTGAGACTTACGGGCAACCTTCGGAAAGAGTGCAGGGAATCTTAAGAAAGAAGTGGGAAACAGTAAGATCTGGAGAGGACAGGAATTCCACAAGGAGAGCAACAGAACCAAAAAATCTGAGCACAGGGGTCTTTCCTGAAAAAAACACTCTTGACCTTGTTTTAGGAAATACACTTGACCTTGTTTTAGTTTTCCAAGCTGATTAAATCTGCATCCCAAGAGTACAAGCTCATGGTGTGGGGCCTGGGCAGACTCCATTGCTTTGGCTTAGTGTTGCCTTGATACTACACCTGAGCCAGCACTGATTAAAATCATACCTGTTCAAATTGCATTCTTATGGATTTTCGTAGAAGGCAACTGTTTCTTGAGCGCAGGAATTGGTGTGGGGGCAGAGTAGTGGAACAGCTAGAGGCAAGTGTTAAACTGAACAGTCAAAAATGCAAGAGGTGAAGGCTGGACTCCCATCCCCCTTTTGATCAGTTCCTTACTTGGTCCTGAGAGAATGGGAGGCATTTCTAACCAGGTGTTCTCAGCATGAAGATGAGTGATAACTGAAGGTATTTCTAACTCTGCATGTTTTAAATGTAAGTTAAATGCAATTTCTAATCCTCGCCATTGTTATCAAAATATTAAAAACTAGGAAACTGAACAATAACAACAAAGCATTATTGTTGAATTCCATTATAGTTACTCTTTACAAAGAAAATAGGAGGAGTGTGTGGACAAACAATGCTGCCAAGTTAGAATCACCTGTGCATAATGTTAAAGGAAACAGAACCTTACAAGCACTTTTGCCAGCATGTCTTGGGCTGGATATTAATTGTTTATTTACTGTTTGTATTTTGAATGCAGGAGCTGATGTTTGGTTTGGTTTCTGTGGCTTCTGAGACTGTGTGGAAGAAGACTGAGGTATGTATGTTCTGGTAAGGTAAGGATGGGCATCTCTTTCCACTTGAAATACCATGACAGTTGGACGAAACATTTTTTTAAATGGCATTAGTAATGGAGGCATGGGGTAGTGAAGAGCAGTGAGGGCAGAGATGGGACAGAAGTACCAGAAGCCTAAGGTAACACAGTCATGAAAGCACACAAATGATTAAATTCCATATGAGAAAGACATGAAAAATGAAGTATTAGAAAAGAATCCATCATGTCTCACATAGCCTGCCAGCAACTCTTTACTACAAATAAGAAAGAAAGAAAAGAAGGAACAATTCAACCATAAAAACAGCCAACAAAATTTTGGGGATCCACAAATCTCTCTAAATAACCCTAATATAAGTGGTCCCAACTCTCGAATTAAAGGCACAGACTAGCTGACAGAATTATAAGACATTTGTTGTCTCCAGGGGGAATACCTCATTGACAAAGACATTCACAGACTGTGAGTCAAAGGATGGAGTCCATTTATCAACTAAGCAGGAGATAAGAACAAGCCAATGCACCTACTTTGGTATTTCACAACAGAAACTTTAGGCTAAAATTAGTCAGAGGAAATAAGGAAAGCCAGTAAATATTAATCAAAGAAAGAATCCATCAAGAAAAGATAACAATTGTCAGAGCTGGAGAGATGGCTCAATGGTTAAGAGCACTTACTGCTCTTGCAGAGGATGAGGGTTTGGTTCTCAGAACCCACATGGTGCCTCACAACCAGCTGTAATTCTAGATACAAGGAATTGGATGTCCCTTCTGGCCTCTGCAGCCATTGGGCACTGCATGTATGTGCTACACAGATACACACGCAGGCAAACCACCCACACCAATACACATAAAGTCAAAAAAGAAAGTCTTCTAAAAAAAGGCTGTTATAACATATACCAAAGACATTCAGAGGACCACTAAGGATTGCTTTGAAAAACCTATCCTCCAAAATAGAGAAAAAGATAAATTCTTAGACATATATTCTCTACCAAAATTAACTTGAGACGGAAAGAAACACCCTAAACATAAACAAAAGAAGCAATGAGGTAGAATCAGAAAAAGAGGCTCCCAAGAAAGCAAAGCCTAGGACCAGTCAAGTCTACAAAATTCTGCCAAACACTGGAGAAGAGCCCCAGCATCTTTCTGTCTCCACTCCCCCACCCCCCAGTGCTGGGATTACAGGCACAGGGCCACCACCAGCTTTCTACATGGTCCCTAGGGATTTGAACTCAGGTCCTCATGCTTGCACAGCAAATGCTCCTACCTCGTGAGCTATCCTGACAGTCCGCAGTGTGTTTTAAAGGAGTTAGAGTATGGGATGGCTGTGGAACCGCCCTAGATACGTCCGTGGTTGTCTGTACCACCTGCTTCTGAAGCGTTGCTGTCCTTTCACTCCTGCCACTTGTCTGTCTCCTGTGCAGGCTCTCCTGCCACATCTGGGGTGCCCGGTCCTCTGACGGTTTTTCTGGTAAGCTGACAGGTGTCACACACTGTTAGGTAGGCGTCCTGGAACGTGGAACATGAAGTGACAGAAGTCTTGCTTACTTAGCACTAGTGTCTTTTTCTGAGGAAACAGGGGAGAACCCACCTTGCTACAACTATTTTGGACACACCCTGTCAGTGCTTTGCTGCCACGATGGAGTAATAGCCTCTTAGAATATGAGCTGAGAGAATCTCCTCCCCCATTTAGTTCCAGCATTAAGCATTTGCCACAGACACAGAGATAAATACAATAATCAGTATAGACACATATGGTCACGGGGTTTTCACACTTCTTTAAATGTTCTTACCCTTCTGTAACACCATTGTATTAGGGTCTGAGTCTCCAACATACAAATTGCAAGGAGTGAGGGATATTTATTTAGTCTAAGACATTCCATCCTTGGAACCACCAAATTCATGTGCTTGAATATCAAATGCATTCCATCTATCCCAACAGCTTCAGAAGTCCTAGTTAATTTCTGTGTTAATTTAACTCTTGGACATTTAGAAAGTCTGAAGTTTGACTTTCTAAATCAGATGTGATGAGATTCTAGGCATAATTCACTCCTATGGCAATATTCCTTTCTAACTATGAACTCAGGAAATAAGATGAATTACATGTTTTTGGTTGATGGTGGTGAGCTAGGCTTCAGATAGACACTCCTGGTTAGAAGACAGAAACAAAAAAGAAGGAAGGTGTTAACTGGTCCAAACCAGGTCCGTTTCTATCAGGCCATACCATTCATGAGCAGTGCACTTTGGATTCATGTTCTCCCTTCTAGTCTTACTGAATGGGTGTCCCTGTCTCTGCTATGAGGGTTCCCAAAGGCTTCAGGTGGTGACACTTCTAAGTCTCTGGGAGTCACCTATTTAGATGATAAAATCGAGGTAATTGTTGAACCCAAGAAAACCCACTGTGATGCCCTCTAACCACCTCCAAAGCCATTGTCATTGTGTGTTTGAGACTGGAAAGATGACCCAGTGGTCACAAACACTTCTGTGGAGGAACTGGGGTCCCATTCCCAGCACCCACATGGCAAGTGCACAGCCCAAGCTAACCTCAGATCCAGAGTTGAACCCTACTTTAGCCCTGGCTAAGTTGCGTTAACTCTGTCTTCCCCTCCAAATATGGCTGCTAAGACCTGCTCTGTGGACTCAGTCCAAGCAGTAAATGCAGCGCTGGCTCCTCTCCCCCACGCAGATGGGAGAGGACGCATGGGTTGTTCTGTCAGACCAATGACTCTTAAATTAACCACTCACCAACTGCTGCCCTACTTTAAGTGGAACAATGCCATCCACCCACATCATCAACCCTCTGAGGGCAAGCTCGAACCATAGCAAAGCTCATGAGCCAAGAAATGGAGTCTGGTTCTTTTTTCAAATTAAAAAAAAAAAAAGAATAGGAAAGAAAAGAAAGAAATTACAGGCTTTCTTCCCCCTCCCGCACTTCACAGACTGTGCACAATGTAGCTCCTCTAAGCTGCTTTGCCTCCCCTTCCCTCCAGCCCAGCCCCTGCCTCTGCCTCTGCCCAAGTCTTTGAGATGTTTCCCATTTTCTCTAAATTGTAGCAATGCTATACACAGGGAGCAAGAGTGCAGCTCTTTGTGCCATGCTAAATCCCCAGAACAGTCTAGAGAACTTATATTACATAATCACCCTCAAATGCCTAACCTTTGCTCTAGGGAAGGATTTATGTAGAGACTTCCCTCCAGGATTCTCTCATCACACTGACAGTGCAGACAAACGAGGCTATGGCCATATGTAGGCTCCTGCCACACGGAGGCTCCAGCTACACAGGCAAACGTGCACAGGAATTTGTCAGCACAGGAAGCCATCTTTCAGTATCTACCTCAAGAGATCCCTCTAAATCTCTGTCCCAGCATCGCCTAATTATAGTTACGAGATTTCCCCCTGGTATTTGGGCTCTCCGTGTCCCTGAGGGCAGGCATAGCATCTCGTTCACCTCTGCATCCCCCTTCCCTGAACAAGGCCTGCTGCACTGTGAGCGCACCACCTGGCCTCATGGAGCAAGCCACGGGCCACACCTTAGAATGGTCACCTGAGGGTGAGGGGGCTTCACACGAATGGCAGAGGCTGTCATCGCTCTTCCACCTGCAGCAGCTGTTTGTGGCTGGACCAGGAAGCTATGACTATGCTCTCACTTTTAAAACAAGAAATACCTCAGTGTTTTAGTTTCCTTCGCTGTTGCTGTGATGCAATCCCCTGACTGGATCAATGTAAGGCCAATGGTTTGTGCTGGCTAACAGTTAGAGGGTGCAGTCCATCCTGGCAGGAAGTCAGACAGATTCTGAAGCAGCTGGTGCCATCATATCCACAGTCAGGGGGCAGAGAGGGATGGACAGTCTAGGATCCTAGCCTATCCTAGCCTAGACAATATTGCCACAGTGGGCATGGTCACAGGCCCAGCTCACAGTTAGTTATAGATTCTCTCCAGTAGACAATCACCACTAAACACTGCACCCTGGCATGCTCATTAACTTTGGATTCTCCAAGCAGGCTTTTAGACTGTTTCAGAGATATTTTCAAAGTACTAACTAAGTATTAATCGAAATTGTTCTTCAGTGGTCCCTGTTACCGCTGGCCCTTTCCCTTCTGTTGCCTATGCTGAGAAATATCCAGGAAGCCTCTAGCCACCACCGCAGGAAAATGTGAGCTATCAGCAAGAGGGAAACAGTGAGTTTCCCCCTCAGCTTTCAAGTTTTTTTCAAATACAGCAAATAAAATGAAAAAAAAAAAATCCTCTTGCATACTGTGTGCAACCAAGATGTGGCAGAACACAAATGGCATGAGAATGAAGCCTTCATTCACTTCTTTCCTCTAGAAAAAGTGTCTGGGTTTCCATTGGTTTGTAAAGTAACAGGAGAAAGGGATAGGGTCATAGCATACTCCAAGCATGGATAAGCTTCACATGGCCCACCACCTTTAATGTCTTGTGTATATATTGTAATGGAAATTTTGGTTTCTTTAAAAACTCACTTATGTTATGTAAATATATTTTTGTTTTAATCCTAAATGTGGGATTTTGGCTTGTGCTTTAGTTTGTCCACAGAGGATAATTGTCTTGTGCGTGGCAAGGTCTTTGACAGCTGGGCCTGGGGCACAGAGAGGGGTGTGCTCTAGGGCTCTGAGGAGATAAATATGAGAGCCCAGAAAGAGAAAATATGGCATGCAATGATGGCATGTGGTGAATGGCAGTTTGAAGAGACCAGAGACGGTCGGTTTGACAGCTTGGAGACAAACGAAAAGAAATATTTCAACGCAGAGGCTTGGAGGAGACTGCTTGCTGCATCTGCTGTTGACAGAGATTGGTATAACCCCCCAAAGAACCAACTGATCCTAAACAGCTAGGGGAAATCAGAGGGTCTGTGTCCTGTCTCCCTACTAACCTCTCTTTTACACTGGGGGGGTTGGAAGGGAGAGGGTGTAAGGAACCCCAAATAAAAGTGTTTAAAAATGAACACAACAATATATAGAGGGTAAGAAGCATCCACGAGAGACCATTGCCACTGAGCAATTCAATCACGTTTCTCACTGATGGTGATGAATATCTTGACAGTATCCACGTGAAAAGTTGACAGAGGCACGTGCCTGGGGCAGCTGAGACAGGCTAGTCTTGGGACTCAGTGTCCAGTCAGAAAGCCAAATTTGTGAGTTACAGGTTCAGTGAGAGACCTGGCTTGAAAAAAACAAGATTCAGGACTCAGCAGTTAGCACTGGCTGCTCTGCAGAGGGTCCAGGTTCATTTCTCAACACCAAATGGCAGCTCACAACCTCCTGTAACTCCCACTCCAAAGGATCTGGTGCCCTCTGCTGGACTCTTTAGGCATTGCACTTGTGTGCTCATACTGCTGCCCCTTACCACACTTAAAAAGAAATCATGGGGGGGGGTGTGTATGTGTGTGTATGGATGGTGGGTCTTGGTGTTGATTTTC